GGGCAGGTAAGCGGCACGCTAGAGGCCACGAATAGGCTACATGGCATAAGTGGTGGGTTCAGCCACAACTGGCATACTGCAAGCACTGTACCACAATCTTCGACTTATGAAACATTTCTTTTACTTATTGAGAGTGTATCGCTGTTGACATTTATGTACTTTTTTAAGGGAACGGCCCAAACTCTGGTCTTGTTGAACGTAGTATCAATGTTTGATAAAAAACGTCAATGGGCATTTTAAACTTGCAAAATGTTTTAACGTTAGAGAGTTTTAACTTTCTATCAACTAATTTCCATCTCCTAATTTGGGTAGAGCCATAACTATAGGTTTTGCTTTTAGACAGTAATATTGGAGGGGGGGGGGTGTTATTTTGCGTTTTAATAATTGTATAGTTTCTGGACGGATTGACAACCAAATGAATTCGAAAAGTGGTAGATGTAGTCATGACTAGGGTTGACTGCACCGCTTACCAATTTCTATATCTGAAAATATTTGCAAAGTTTATTTCATCAATGCTTGGGCATGCTGTGATGTAAAAAAAATCTCTTGGGCACTAACACCAACAAGAAATTAATCAAGTTATGAAGAACAAAAGAACTCTATTGGATTATAGACTTAATGACTTTAAGGTTAGAATGAATCGTGTTAATAAATTGAGGACGCCAACTGTAAGTAGGGATAAAATTGAATATTTGAAGTTTCAGTAATTATTACTCAGATTAGACACTCTACAATATAAAAATCACTTAAATCCGCCCAACAGAACATTATACCAATTCTCGTAATGATACTACAGTAAGAAATGCGACAAAAGACAGTAATATATTCTAGATAAACATCAATGGAAGTATAGGTTTACCAAATGATGGCTTCGTATTTAAAAGCCGTAATTATTTTCCCCGTTGCCATCATCATTAGTCTGATGGCTACTGGGTTGACACGCGAGGAAAAACGGGCTTTCCTAGATAAACGGGCAAATATAGTGACATTATTCTTACTTAGGGCTTGATAACAGATATATACCTTTACATTGAGCATTAATTCACTACACTTTTGATTACTTATTGTACAATTTGTCGATGTTTATAAGTTCCAGAATTACATCAAGTTAAGTGATGATTTGGTAAGTTTAATTTTATGATATTATATATGGTAAATTATATGTTATTGAAAATTCCACTAAAAACATAAATATCAACTAATGCTGTTAAGAAAAACATCAACCATAAAAAACACCATAGCCGACTGACCGGTTCCCATAGACGGAAGGTCAGGACAAGTACCATCGTACAGACTATATAAGTGTGATCAATTTTGAAATTTTAGGAAGTTTCCCTTGCTATCTATGCCACACCAAACTGTGACAAAAAATATTCTCGCTGTTGCCATACTACAAACGTGCAAATACATTGACACATTAGTAATATGACTTCTATGTAGTATCATTGACATTGGTATACCAGGGTGTACATCTTGTCAAAGGTGGCACATATGCATCCATGCCACTACTTAGAGAAACACCTACTGACCAGTCCCCTGGAGACAGGTACCAACGTACAGACTATATCAATATGATCAATTATATTGTTTAGGATATACAGATTATGCAAGTTTCGGAAACTTCTGTTTGTAGAAAGCTACATCACACCAAACTGTGACGAAACCACTACAAGTTTCTTGCCATACTACAAAGGTGGCAACGATCGATCGCTTATCTCAACGATTTCTGTCACAATTAAAATGCAATTTGAGAAAGTGAGCCGGATTAGTTCAGAGGTCAACAGCTCGTGTATCAATATTGGATTGAATACGCAGCCGGCCATTGATAAGAGATAAGCGGGGTCAACAAACTGATAAGATATCGGCGACTCACAGCGGCCGTTACACAACTGTCTTATCGGCCGCATGCGCCCCTGCGCTTCCGTCTTATCAATAATTCTGGTTTACGGTTGGGACGCGTGCAATTAATTAGGTCAGATTTACTTTGGAAGGTGGAAGATGACGTTTGTGTTTCCTCTTGATCATTGGAAAGCGTGGAACATTAATTGATCGAGTTGGGTCGTGGACAAAACCGTTTTGGAAGGGAAAAAAATGCGTAGCCTATCGATAAAACATTATTACATGCGACTAGCGGTTCGGTCTTATCAATATAGCTTTGGTTCACGTGGAACATCAGTTGAAACAATTGGGTCGTTAAACAAGACAAAATCTGCGGGTCTAAAATAAGTTAGTCCAAATATCCAGATGAAGAGCTTTTAAAAAAGAAAATGTTTTAAAAATTTTATAGAGTTTTAGCCTAATGTCAGTAAACACATCACTATTTTGTTTGAAAAAAAATGTAAGATTAGTAATATGATACCTGTAGGTAGGTTTCAGGCTAAACCCTAAATAAACAAGTGTATAAGTGTGTGTGTGTAGAGGTTAACTGTAAGAAAGGACCATGAGGTCCTAAGTTCACCTCAATAAAGAAGCATTTTCATTTCATTTCATATAATCAAAGTGTTTACTCTTCTATATTTTTAATACTTTAATATTTTTCGATGAAATGGCGACCATACAAAGTAGGTATTTTAAGCCAAGATGAATGGAGATGAGTGTAGGATGAGTGGCGCGATCTTGTAGTCTTGTTAGTGACTAAGGCCGACATATTCCTTAGACACAGCTGTTAATTAATAGCCCATAATGGCAACTAGGGACCTACAGTTTATAGTGGAATCCGAACCACATTTTTTCCTTGGTATATACGAATAGTACTGCGGATAGTCGTAGTACTCACTCGTGCGGACGTTAATCCACACCAGAGAGTATCGCATCCACAGTGCATGCCTATAAATATCCACAATTCGTGACCTCCTAGTAGCTGGATTACAGGACGACACCACCCGTCCCAGTCTATACATAAAATGATTGATTCATGCACATCACAATGAGCCTAAAATCCTAGCAGCTATAACGGCTGTGCTGTATCAATACACGTTTATGCGTTATCAGCTTGCCTGTGCTCGCTTTCCACATCGCATCAGGCCTAATGAATTGATCTTTGATTAAAACCTGTCAATAGCTAACAGCGCTTTATTCCCATATTAAACACAAAGCTCGCCTTCCATGATTGTGGAGGTACATTTTGACGTTGGGTAAAGATAATTTAATTAAAAGGTTCAGTTTTAATTCGATAAAAGTGCAATCCCTCGTCTTGTTTGTGTATGACGATAACCTGTAGTTTAAAACATAATCAATTATTTAATCAAATGTTGGCAAACTATCTTTGGATCCAGAAATCAACAAGATCGAACCAGCAACCTTTGTATTTGGCGATCTCTGAAATCTCGCAGATATACACTTTCCATTAAGCTACGCTGTTAATAATTTTAACACGAATCCTAATTTAAAACACGAATTTATGTTGGTATTTTCCACCAGAAAACATTAAAATTAAATAATAAACCTCATTCATATACAATCATAACTCTTAGTTTAGCTGGAATGGACAGGGAAACATATACCTTGATATACAGATTATTTATATTCACAACACCCGCCATTAAAATGTCCAATATATTTTGGCAAGTGCGTGTAAAAACTCGACGCGACATAAAAACGATCCATTGGCAGTTCCGCCCCCGAAACTATCTGCTGCGGACGAGCTTTCTATTTTATTAGCGCTGTAAAGTAGACAAAAACTATAAAGTTTGAGAATTAGTTTGTAGTTTGACAAAACGGGATTCTTTTTAGGTCAGGATCATTTTAATATATATTGGGAGTAGTGTTAAAAAGTGTCAAAAAAGGTGATGTGATAATCACAATTTTTGCTCCTGCTCATCTAGGCCTAGATGTTAAATTATTTGCTTTCAACATTCAATAGGCTTCAACCATATAATTGTTGGCGTTGCCTAGCAACCATAACCTCAAAATGCAACGCTATGTTATCGGTGTTTTGCTTTTGGTTAACTGAATTTTCTCAGAATTATGTGGACAAATTTATTCAGAGAAACACCTTTGTCATCATTAAATCTTTATTAAAAACTCATTACAGCATTACAATTTCAAAAACTAATTTAAATCCTTCGCAGAAAGGGAATCCCTTAACTCTTAAAACCCTTATTTTGATAATTTTTTTTGTGAAAAGCTCTTTCTTAAACTATTTCTTACGCTATAACTTTTTAATTGTTTATGTTAAAATAGGGCACTATTCTTTTAATTTTACCAACTTGTAAATCTGTAAGAATTAGACGATTTAAAAGATGTCCTTAGATTTCTTAAAAAATAACTAAGTAAGTTTACCTCAAATACAGTACATAACTTGAAGATAAAAATAAAAGAAGATACTTTTTAAACTTATTTTCAATGGCCATGTTGCTTGTTGAATCTTTCCATATTTAGTACAAACAATTACCCTTTGGTAAACTTCAAAAACTCAATAGTTAACAATAAACCATTACTTAAACATAACGGTTATCTGACAAAAAGATAGGTCATTTTCCAGGAATTATTAAGGAAATTGATAGTAAAGCAGGCTTCCCTTGAAATAAGTCTATAGAGACAAATAAATATACAAAACAAAAGTAGAAATTTTCGTAACCACTGGAGAAAATAACAAAATCAGTTTTCAGAAAATTTCTACTTTTGTGTTGTATATTTGATGTGTCTCTATGGACTTATTTAAAGGTAAGTCTGCTTTCCTGTAAATTTCCCCATTACTTCAACAAGTAGTTTATAAGACATTTAAAAATCGTATAAATTGTAATTATTTGTTCATTTAATGCACGTATTGATTAATCTTTCAATCATGAATTAAAATATTTCCCCCGTCATAAAGAAATCCAATACAAGGAAACCACGTTGACGTATGAATATAAGGAAGTTGCGCAGTCATCAATACTAGCGACGAGCGACGAGCAAGCAAGATACATCAGCTGGAGGTATTCCCGATAGCTAATGTGTTGGTTGCTATTCCGCTCGTAGGATACTCTATAGTTTTTACCGTTGTGGACTTGGTTCAGGGAATAGATGTCAACACAATCACATCGTCTGACGAACCGCCACGACGCGCCGTCTGGTTCGAGGAAGACCGGAGAAGTATGTACGAGATAGCGCCACTAGGAATATTCCGAGCAATTAAAATAGTTGAAAAGATTGCCGAGATTTGCTTCAGGTTAGGAAACCTCATGTTTTTGTGAGGGGTAAAAGCTATGACGAGTGTTTTTGTAAATTGTATTGGTGTCCAAAATACTGCGTTGGGATTGTTTAGGTTTTTTGTAAGAAAATTGGTCCAAACACCGTTACTTAGTTTTTTTCCTACCTTTACATTGTAGGATTGTAGGCTCTATCATGTATACATATTTCTTCAGGCTATGACTTGGGTGTCGCCTCACTAACACCATATATTAAACATACTCCCTTAGTATTTTTAACCTATGCTAATACATAGGTAAAAGCAGTTTCTGATTGGAGGGATTTGACCATGACCTTGGGGAACAGGCTAGGGCTCGAGTGTAGCCTCACTAACACATAGGTAACAACATAGGTAAAAGCCGTGTTTGTCAGGATTTGAACCCAGGACCTGAGGCTGAAGTTCCACTAAACAATTAGACTAACTCGCTTCCCTCGGACTTGTTTCGACGTCAACCTTTACTTACATAGGTTGATTGATAGTCAAGTGTAAAATAAACATCTGTATTTAGAATTAACTTAAGTTCGAACCAGCAACGTCCAGATTTGAGGTGAGAGTACTAAAACTACTCCGCCTGGACAATTAATAGTCCATAATAATTGAGTAAAAACATTCTGTCGGGATAATGGGTGAATATTTTATTACTGTACCCCTTCTGTAGCATTCAGTAATCCAGGAAAAGTTAACCTACTAGTTATATTAGTTGTCTATTTTCTAGGGTGTAAGACCCTAGGATAGGTGTTGAGTCATAGGATTACATACTTTTTACGTTCATAAAAGTGGTGATTGGCAGGATCTGAACTCGAGACTTCAAAGGAAGTTTTATCAAAATAAATTTATCAGCATTCAAATAAGTTGGATAAAATGATTTTGTATAAGAAAATTGGTTTAGGATAGCAAAACAATTCAATATATCGACGCGAAGGATTCTCCCGAAGCAAATGATGACTCATAGTTGACTGGGGAGGCTATCTTGTTAGGGCCGCGGGCAACTTCATTAGCCTAATTAATTGGCTTGATGACTATGAATTCATCTTGGTGATAACTAATTGATTATTGACAGAACACCATCAGAAATTGGTCGGGTGGCCATTTTATTTGACCCAATAACAAACACTTAGGCTACAGCACGTCACACTAAAAATAGATAATAATATTAAATATCTATCAGTTAAATATGTTAACTTGGCTATCAGACAGACGCTTCAATTTTGTGGTTTACATTCTCCGTATCTTTTTCTATACTTACATGGAAACCCATAAAGCAATTAATTGTAAAATTTTGAAAATACGAGTGCAAAAAGTTGATTAATTTGAGTAAGAATAGAATATGAAATAGCAATTAATTTAGTATTTCGTTTACAATAATTAAGAACCCTTAACAATTATTAAGGGTCTAAATAATACGTGACCATTGGTTGTCAAGTATTTGTTTATACATAAAAGATCTTCAAAATAATGTTTGGGTTTATTTTAGATCTGGGTTTGGCACTCTAATCGCCATTTTTCTCACTAAAGCATATTTTTTAATTCCGTAGGCCTACTGTAAAATTAACTAAAAATGTCACACAAATTTATTTCAATACATGTCAATTTTTAGTTTTAAGTTGATAAAAAAATAACATTGTTATTTTTTGTTATAGGTTTTTGTCAACAAAAAATTTTTTAAGATAACAACAAATCGTCATGAGTATAAACATTTTTCAATAGGTCTAACAAAACTTTCGTACTGTAGTTATACACATCATTGTATGGAAAATAGTGTGTACCCTTTAACGTTTGCAAAACACAAAAAAATTTCATTCATAATTTTTTTAAACTCTAAAAATATAACTGGCAGTAATTAAAGAAATGTTTGGGTATTATAATGTTTAAATACGTTAAAAATGTTAAATTGCACGTGCAATTTTAATTATTATGAATTTGTGTGAGTAGATATAATAGAAGAAAGATACCCCACTTTCGGCGTTTTAGAGGCACTTTTAGGGCACTTTTTATAGGGGAAAAATGAGAAAAATTAGTGGCTCATTTTTTTGGCCACTTTTTTAAAGACCCAGCTCTCGACCTATACACCCCTATATAAATTTTCTACTTTTTTAATACTGAAAAACACGTCTGGAATATGGCTAATTTTTTTGGCCACTTTTTAAAGACCCGGATCTCGTTCCTACAAATGTACAAATCCTACAAGCCCATACAAATGTTCAAACTCCATTAAAATTTCAAATCCATATCCATTCCCATGTATATTTTCAAAATCATGTGAGGTTTGTGCGTGAACTCGGGCACGCTTATGGCTATGCGTAAACTATGCCCGACTCAAATGAACAATTAGACCCAGCTCTCGACCTATACACCCCTATATAAATTTTCTACTTTTTTAATACTGAAAAACACGTCTGGAATATGGCTAATTTTTTTGGCCACTTTTTAAAGACCCGGATCTCGTTCCTACAAATGTACAAATCCTACAAGCCCATACAAATGTTCAAACTCCATTAAAATTTCAAATCCATATCCATTCCCATGTATATTTTCAAAATCATGTGAGGTTTGTGCGTGAACTCGGGCACGCTTATGGCTATGCGTAAACTATGCCCGACTCAAATGAACAATTAGACCCAGCTCTCGACCTATACACCCCTATATAAATTTTCTACTTTTTTAATACTGAAAAACACGTCTGGAATATGGCTAATTTTTTTGGCCACTTTTTAAAGACCCGGATCTCGTTCCTACAAATGTACAAATCCTACAAGCCCATACAAATGTTCAAACTCCATTAAAATTTCAAATCCATATCCATTCCCATGTATATTTTCAAAATCATGTGAGGTTTGTGCGTGAACTCGGGCACGCTTATGGCTATGCGTAAACTATGCCCGACTCAAATGAATGACTGCGAGTGTAACCTAATGACCCCAATCAAAACCAATTGTCAACATTCTCTGCCTGTCTGGCGCCAGTCTGTCTGGGGCAGGTTTAGACAATTACCAAATATGTTTGATTGATTGACCTCAATTATTCAATTGTTCAATTTCAGTTTGTTCAATTTCCATTGTTCTAAATTAATTTAGACAATTTTGTGGTATATAAGGGGGGAATTCTACGGAATCGTCACTCACTCTTCCACCTGGATCTTCTTGTTTTGGTAAGTCTTTGACATCTAAGCTAGACTATTGTAATATGTTGTCGCGTGTCGGGTCATGGGATCAATTGGTGACGTAATTGATGTTTGTACTCATACTCTGTATTTCTTTTAACTTAGGAGTGTAGCTAATTTCCCGAGTCCATTTTTAAAAAACTTAGCCGAATTGAGTCACTAAGGAACTTGTAAAAAATGTATATAAGTATATTTTTAAACCCTTAGAGTATTTTGAACAGTCACCAAGGAACTTAAAATGTATATAAATCTATTTTTAAACACTTAGAGTATTTTGAACAGTCACTAAGGAACTTAAAATGTATATAAGTCTATTTTAAAAAACTTAGCCAAATTCACTCATGAGGGGGACTTTGAGTCAAAAGTTTGCACAAGTTATTATTTAAAAACTTAGCCGAATTATACTCACGGGGGGAACTTTGAGTCAAACGTTTGCACAAGTTATTATTTAAAAACTTAGCCAAACTTCATGCACCAGGGGACTTTGAATCAAAATGTGTACAAGTTATTATTTAAAAACTTAGCCGAATTATACTCACGGGGGGAACTTTGAGTCAAACGTTTGCACAAGTTATTATTTAAAAACTTAGCCAAACTTCACGCACCAGGGGACTTTGAGTCAAAATGTGTACAAGTTATTATTTAAAAACTTAGCCGAATTATACTCACTATATAATTTTGTCGAGTCCCTTTTAACATAGGTAACATAGTCTTCTCTATAACTAACACTCACTCTGTATATATGTAGACTCATAAATCTGAATTGCTAAAAAGTATTTTTATTTAAGATTTTGGATTTAGTTTTGATTTAAAAAATTACAATTGCCAAATTTTATTGTATGAAATTGTTTTGAATATTAAAATTTAAAATTCTGATTTAAATTATTATTTCCCATTAATTGAAATTGTCTAAAATGTAATTTCCACCATATAGAAGATGCTAACTTTGTTTTTTTAGTTACATGTTAACTGTGTGCTGCTTCTCTATCCAAAAAAGTAACTTATTTTGTTATTACTATTTTTAAGTGAGTCAAAAATATATACAAGTTATTATTTAAAAACTTAGCCAAACTTCACGCACCAGGGGACTTTGAATCAAAATGTGTACAAGTTATTATTTAAAAACTTAGCCGAATTATACTCACGGGGGGAACTTTGAGTCAAACGTTTGCACAAGTTATTATTTAAAAACTTAGCCAAACTTCACGCACCAGGGGACTTTGAGTCTAAAGTGTGTACAAGTTATTATTTAAAAACTTAGCTGAATTATACTCACTATATAATTTTGTCAAGTCCCCTTTAAAATAGGTAACACTCACTCTGTATATATGTAGACTCAGCAATCTGAATTGCTAAAAAGTATTTTTTATTTAAGATTTTGGATTTAGTTTTGATTTAGAAAATTTCAATTGCCAAATCCTATTGTATGAAATTGTTTTGAATATTAAAATATAAAATTCTAATTCAAATTATTATTTCTCATTAATTGAAATTGTCAAAATGTAATTTCTACTATATAGAAGATGCCAACCTAGTTTTTTAGTTACATATATAAAAATGAAGACTACATGTCAACATTGTTTCGCATCGCTCTCCAAAAAAAGCAACCTTATTCGCCACTACAATTTAAAACATCAAATGAAGGTATGTAAACTGTGTGATTTAATCTGTGATAATAATGTGGCTCTAAAATCTCATATATTACAAAGTCACAAGACTTGTAATTTCTGTAAAAGAAATGTTGTTGGTCATTTTAAAAGACACGTAAATTCTTGTAACAAATGTCCATATACAATGATTAAATTTTTCAGTGAATCGA